TCTAATTGTAACAGTACTCACAGGTAACTTTAGACCTTCTTTGATCTTCCTGGAGCTGATTGTTGGCTGAGTCCTTGCCATTTTGGCTATTCTTCTATCCATTCGAATGGTAGTTTTTCGCTTTCTTCCACGTCTTTCAGGTTTTGGTTGCCATTTTAAAGCATTTGCGATCTTTTTAGCTGAGCAGCCTATCATTTTCTGCACTTCTTTATATGTTTTCCTCTCTCCAATTTACTTTTTAATCAAGGTACGCTGTTCTTCTGAACAATGTCTGGAATGACCCATTTTCCTCAGAATTTCAGAGAGAAATGCACTGTAACCAGCATGTACAACATTTGCTGCCTTCCTTCCTTAAATAAGGGCAATAATTGCCACCTGTTTTTCAAAGAATGAATGACCTCACTAATAGAACTCCACACTGTTATTATTTTGAACATGCCCCTTTCAATTAGTGATTCAATTACACAGAATCAGCAGCATGCATGTCATGATTGTTGGGTCTGTTGGATTTCTATTACTCTACTACACCTGCTAGTAAATTATTTGCCATGTAGAAATATCATTTCTACCAAAAACAGTGATTGATCAGGTTAGTGATGTCTGACTGCTATTATTTTGAACACAACTGTAAATTCAGCAAGAGGAGCAGTACAGTTTTTATTTATTTTTTATTACTACTTTGACGCTTCTGTCCAAAAATCACCAATACTGATGTGAGACGTGCGTTTTTTTCAGGTTTCAGAATTTCCTCTTAGTTCTACATGTGTTTATTTCAATATCCCACCATATTTTTCATACAACATACAAAATTTACCCCAGGACAACTGGTGCTAAAGGTATGTTCTGAAGGACTAACCACAATAACTTGAGGTACAAAGCTAATTTTTTCAAATCTGCAACCTTTCAAGGACATCTCCTTTGAAACTGCATTGGATGCAGTATGCTATGTAGAAAACTCTGTAATGGGAACGACTTCAGCTTGGATATGGTCCAACTGCTCTCTGGTGAAGGTTAAAACCGCTTCATAAATTACACAAAATACAGAGTACCTTTTCATAAACAGGATTCAAAAGTGGCCATCTCTTTCTGGAGAAAAAAATCCCTTAATCACAGTAAATTTCTCACAAATAAATTGGTGGTTTTAAGAAAAAAGCATGCTACTATAGTAAGTGAATTGGTATTGTGATCTTTAAATGATCACAAGTTAATTAAGCAGTGTTGAATTGCTAGCATAAATCTGAAGCTTGGCACTTTCATGGAGTCTGACCTTTTCCTCTTTTCTTTTCTGAATCTCATTAAGGCTGCACGAGACGAAATGAGTGATTCCTTTATTATATTGAAAACAACATTTACAACATTTGGAAACGATTGTGAGTAGATCCACAATAAAATGTTCAGAACAGATAATACATTTTAAAGCGCCTTCCAGACACTGAATAGAATATTGTTCACTCCATTTTATAAAAGGAGTGATCTTTCTCTCTCTATCCAAATCTATTAAATACCTGTAATCACTACAGTAGTTCACACATTTACTTTCAATAAATACGCTTCTTCAGAAAGTGCAGTTGAAATGTATCTCTAGTGGTGTAAACATCAATACAAGAAATTCCATTGCTCAGATTAAAAGTTTTATATATCTAGCTAATGCTACAACAGGCCACGGAGGAGCTGTTTAATAAATCTTAGGAAAGGAAACGTAGATGGTGTTGCACAGAAAAGACAATCAGTTTTTTACATTTTCTAACCAGTACGATAAAAAAAAAAATGACAACTGAAACCTACCTAGGGGTCAGTTAAAGAGATTCTGTCACCAATTTAAAACACTACAAGTAAATGCAAAAAAAATAATGTATTTGGAATACAGTGTTTTTCTTTGCATAGGTGATTTTTTTTTTTTTTTTTACGGACTTGCTTTTGAACGTGCTAGAAAATGCAGCTCCTTCAGGAAGAGTCAATTCTCTAGCACAACTCCCTCCTTTCATACACATTACAACCTTTCCTCTTCTGGAAGTATCTAGTCTGTGCTGGCTTGGCATCTCTATCCCTCTCTTTCACCACTCTACACTACCTTTTACATTATGTAGCTGACAAGAGGGAATACACTTGAGTGATAACTGTGCTGCTGATATCGTATCCAAGATGACAGTGCCTTGGAGTTGTCACAGGGCTTTTGGATGTCTACAGAAGGGAATTTTTTACATGTAAATCACAAGCATAAATGTTAAATGCATTGCAATTAATGCTTTTTTGTTAAAAATTAATGGTCTGGTTATAAGGTCTTTTTAAGTAATAGAAATTGGTCACCACCCTGCCTCCAAATTTTTACCCGAGTAATGCAAGGAGAGGTAGCATACTGATGAGGTCATGGGATTACAGGAGGAATATATTAGTACATATTGAAATATTTAAGCTTGCTCTGTATAAACATACATGAGTTTATTTTTTCAGATTAACACCTGGATCCAGTGATGCATATTTACTAAAACTGGAGTAGATTAAATCTGGATATTAGCCAGTTTCTAACTTCAGCTTGTTCAGATAAGCTTTAAAAACTAAAGATGAAAGCAGATTGGTTGCCATATTCAAATGCTCCTGGTTGTACTTGTTCCAGTCTTGGTATATTCCATTGTATACTTAACCCCTTCACGCCGGCGCCTCCCGGCCCTTTAAGAGAGTTTCAGAAGTCGGGAGGTGAGGCGGGGTTTAGGGTCATGTGAACGCCGTGATGCGCCGTCACATGATCGGGAAAGGTCCCGATTGAAAGAGGAGATCGGGACCTTTCTGTGAGTACCGGACATGTGTGCTGGGAGCGTGCGCTCTTGGCACATATGTCCTTTGTTAATAGAAAAGCAAATGTGCAGCCACTCGGCCTCTAGGCCCAGGCGCCGGGAGGCTGCACATTTGTGTTCGGCCGGCGTGAAGAGGTTAAAGTGGTTGTAAAGCTACGTTTTTCTTTTTAATTGAAATAACAAACATGTATGGTTTTGCAAAGAGCAGCCCCGCCACTCCTCTTCTCAGGTCCCCTGCCAGCGCTCCTGGCCCCTTCCCTCTGCCAAGTGCCCCCAGAACAAGCTGCTTGCTCTGGGGGGACTCGTGCATGCTCGCCCTAAAGCCGGCCCTGTATGTCCATAAGACATACAGAGCTCATCTTGGCCCCACCCCTCCTCACTCTCTGAGACTGACAACAGCAAGAGCCAATGGTTCCCGCTGCTGTGTTTCAGCCAATGAGGAAAGAGAGACTCAGGAGAGCCGAGGCTCTCGTGCACAGCGCTGGATTGCGATCAAGTTCAGGTAAGTATTGGGGGGGCAGCTGCACACTGAATGTTTTTTACCTACATGCATAGAATACATGAAGGTAAAAACACCTTCAGCCTTTACAACCAATTTAACCATTTTCCGCCCGCCCTATGGCCGAATGGAGGGCGGCAAATGTCATCAGCGTTCCGGGTGGACGCCATATGGCGTCCTCCCGCACATGCACAGATTGCGCTCCTGCAGAGCGGCGCAGTGGCGCGATCTGTCACAGGCTGTGTACCTCGGACACGGCCTCTGACAGATCTGAGTATTGGCCCCGTTGCTGGTACCATGTGACCTGCTGTGACCAATCACAGCAGGTCACATGACAGTTGTATACAATGGATGGCTTCATTCATGCCATCCATTGTATACTACTGCCTAGCTGTGAATGGTCACAGCTAATCACATGCACATGTCATGTGATTAGCTGTGGCCAAATCACAGCTAAGCACAAAAAAAAAAAAAAAAATTGATGTTATTCAGATAAATGCTTGCTTATAGCAAAGTAATTCTTTGCTATAGGCAAATTGTGTAAAAAAAAAAAAAATACTGATCACTTCCCCAAAGTAGTACAATGTTACTATGGTAACATTGTACTACTTTGGTCATAGTGAAATATGAAAAAAAAATCTTAAAAAAAAAAAGAAAAAATTTAATAAAAAAAAAAAAATAAAAAAAATATATATAATTTTTTTTTTCATACTGTCACCAGTCAGTGTTCCTGATCACCGCCATGCCAGTTATATGATGACGCTGTACTGCACTGGTGACAATATGTAAAAAAAAATAGTGAAACAAATTTTTTAAATTTTTTCATTTTCCCGAAAAATGACAACAAAAAAAATACAACTTCAAAAAACTCGCCATGTCTCTTATGGAATACGTCGGACTGTCTCCTTTGCAAAAAGGGGTCATTTGGGGGATATCTGTACTGTTCTGACATTCTTGGACCTCAAGAAATTAGATTGGCCGTCAGTACTTCAGGATTGATCAATATTCAGATATATACCATAGTTTGTGAACTCTTTAACTTTCCTACAAACTAAAAAATACATCCTAATTTGGGTTATTTTCACCAAAGACATGTAGCAGAATACATCTCGCCTAAATTTATGAAGAACAATTATTTACTTGCAAACTTTTATAACAGAAACAAAGAAAAACTTTTTTTTTTCAAAATTTTTTGGTCTTTTTTTGTTAATTTAGCAAAAAATAAAAACCCCAGTGGTGATTAAATACCACCAAAAGAAAGCTCTAGTTGTGTGAAGAAAATGATAAAATTTTAGTTTGGGTACAGTGTTGTATGACCGCGCAATTGTCATTCAAAGTGTGAGAGCGCTGAAACCTGAAAACTGGCCTGGGCAGGAAGGTGTAAAATCGCCTGGTATTGAATTGGTTAAATTACTTTTATTAAATGTGTGGGGAAAGGTTAGCAACTATTAGATTTTCATTACAGTCTGCTTCCTATTGAGATCTCCTTACTTCCTCTAGAGTTACTAGCACAGAACTTTGTGGGAAATCTCCTTCATGGGAACACCAACAACAATAAAAACACAAGGGTAGTACTAACCCTTTTCCACTCCATCCAAAATGAACAACTTAACTACAAGCAAAGAGTCTTAAACTTATAACTGCAATGTGTCACTGTGGTAACAAGTCCACAAAAATATGATGGGTAAAATCACAATTAAGTAACTTACATGAGCTTTTGAAGTCCTTCTTTTTCATTCGCCTCCTCATCAGTGTCCCTCGAGGGCTTGTGGGGTAAAGGCTGCGAGGTAGGGTACCCATATTGAGTGAGCTCAGGCTGTATGCACTCATGGAGGTAGGAGAGAAGGATGAAGATACCAAAGCTGCTGCAAGAAAGAGGACACATAGTACACAGTACACAAAGCAATACACAGAATGCTACAAACATCAGTGCAACAAGGGATTATTATGTTTAAAATCTAAAGAAAAGGGAACGTTAAAACATTTCCCTTGACTGTAGATTTCCTTTTACTGAGGCCGACTGGAAAATGAAAGTGTCTGGTTGCTACTGGTATGTTATTGTAACCTAAATCCTTTACCAAAGTATAACTGTTTTCTGACAGATACACTAAGGGGTTCTATCAAAGCTTAACTCCAGGCAGATAAAAAACACACACATCAATGCAGCTCTGTATTTATTAGTACTTCCTTAATTGTGATTAGGGCAAGCGGTGTAAGTACTTCAATTTGATTTCACATCAGCCTCTTACAGTCCTACAACAGAGCTTAGGCCGGGAGAAGGAGAGGCTGCATAAACAGCCAATCAGTTGCGCTGCAGTGCAAGGAGCATGCTGATAGCAAGAAAAATAAGAAAAAGAGAAAGGGAAAAAAGAAAAGGAAAAGCCCCCCAAAAACCTGATTACTGCTGTGCAGTAATACGAACAGTTCTCCTCCCCTGCCAAACAGGGCTGTGCTGGTGCCAGAGCCAATAAAACCTGAGAACTGGATAGACAAAGCAGTATTAAACCCAAAATCAAAAGTTTAATATAATGCAGCATAGACTTGATGGCTGCATTTGTTTTATTTTGTAGGCTTTTTTCCATCTGTATTCACCTGAGGATCTGGCCAGTAACACACCTCCTGTATCTGGATGAAGCAGCACAGGGGGAACCTTTGGACAGCAGCATTGTCAGTCTGGGAGGAGGGGAGCGTTAGATGTACTAGCAGATTTAAATACACAAACAAATGGAAACTTCAGCTCACACCACAGTTACACATGCAATTACATCAACAATTTTTTTTCTTTTGGGATAAAAGTTTAACATGATTAAATAAAAGCTAATCATTGTAAGCACCCCTATCAGTAGTAATTGGTTAGACTGGTTGGAAGAGCTTGTTCTGTTCTAAACAAAAGACTTACTGGCTAGATCACCAGATAAAAAATAAAGGAATATAAGAAATGAATGCAGCCATCACATCTAAGAAACGGTAAGCTGCAATATAATAAAAATTTGCTTTTGTGTTTAATACCACTTTAAATACAAATCCTATAGTACATAAACCACTCCCTTATATGTATTTCATATGCATATTCATACGCGAATTTAGCTGTTTACCTGGTTTTCAGCTTCAAAGATCACATTACTTCTGATATTAAATGCCAACATGCAGACAGAAGTGCAAACAGTACGAGCCCTTTCACACCTATACATATACTAAATGTGTTTTTGTATCTTTTTAAACTGTTTTTGAGTTTATGTATGTGTTTTAATAGAGATTTTCCATGTTACAGGAGCTTTACAAATGCACACACATGTATGATGCATGTTTTTGTTTATTTGTTTACTACTAATTTTAAAGGAAGTTCATTAAATGAGTTCACAAACAAAAAAATGCTACATACCCCATGTTTGAAAAGTGTTTTAAACTGCAGCACAGATGCAAACTAGACACATAGGCACAAATGTGACTAACTCGCATTGCATTTTCATGCAGTGAATGTGTGAATAGGGCCCTTAAAGTTGTTTTAAACCCTTACATATAGCCAGTGACATAACTAGCCATAGGCGTTACACAGAGATGAAATAAATACGTTGTACCTATATGTCTACAACCATGTGTCCTGTAGATGGTTCTAAAACACCCAGATCAAAGGATTGTTCTCAGCCTCAGAAAGCAGGGGTCAGGGTTCTGATGTCTCACACAAACACTACACTACAAAGCTAGGGTACAGAGCTTCATGAAATCTTATAAATGATTGGAAGGAAGGGACACAATCCCCTTTAAAAAGCTCATAGAGAAAAACACTATGAATCTATGAGTCACCTGCTGTGTGCTTGGGGGGGGGGGGGGTTGTTGTTGACATCCAGAAGGCTGAGGAGTTGACTTAAGCTGGGCATAGATGTAGCGGAAAAAAAAAAAAAAACAGATCCCTGCATCAGCACAAGCAATGTTGATGCAGGGATCTTCCCTATGTCTTTGTATTCTGACTGCGGCACTATCCTCATCAGAATACACAGATTAGCACTTGCAGCGACTGCCTGTAAGCAACAATCAAATGCTGATTTTCCTGCAGGAACATTAGACAGAAGCCGGTGATTAGAACAGTCCTTCTTAACCAGTTAAATTTCAGTTTGTGTGTACCAGGCTTTTTTAGAGTTCTATCAATGAGTCATACAGATAGCAAAAGGATCAGATAGCAGGGAGTAGCCCCACTTGGTGCTTTGGATTCAGGCTAGTACACACTATAGTAGGATGTAATTTTAAAATTTTCATGTCTGAAGTTTAAAACCACTTTAAATGTGCATTGATTTTAAACAATTATTCAGAAACACAGGAATATGCACTAAAACTCTTAATGGTAAATTCAGACTAGTTGTTATGGATCATTTGTTTTAAATTTGCATATATATCCAACATGCATGCCTGCATTTTACACTTTTTCTGTTTTTTTTCTAGTTTTGGATTGCGTGCAGAAAGGTTACAATCTGCATTCTTTAATATTTACCCTAACTTTACCTTGTCCCAGAGACAAATGGAAAATTTTGGGTTTTCCTTTACTTTCCATCCATGTAACACTAAGTCAGTAGGGCAAACCTGAGGGTGAATCTCCTCACAAAGTAATAAAGACCGAGGGGATTGTGACCATTTTTCACTTTATCCAAAACTATACAAAGAAATTATATATACGCGTAAAGTACACGTAAAAGCAAACACATGCATAAAAACATATAAAATCTATTTGAAAGGTAAACAAGGTCATTATGCTCATTTTTTATATTAATTTCCTCTTCATATTATCCTAACTAGCAGAGATGTTCTCAAACATAAATAGTTAGAGCTCTCACTAATGCACCTGCCATGCCAATTTACTAAGCACTTTTCACTGAGTATTTTCATAATTGATCTTTCATACAGGTAACTAATGTCTGCATCTGTTTTGCACTTCTTATCTAAGGAGTAATTTATGTGATGTAAAACACCAGTGCTACCTACATTAATGAGATCTGTGGTGCGACCACATACAGGCTTGTCAGTTAAAGCTGCATGTCAATATGAGCATCCACACTAATCATGACCCTCCTGCTCTTAATATACATAGGCAGAAGGAAAGAACTAAAGTTTTCATCTTCAGTATTGTTGTATGGCAATTCAGAGATCTCTGTACTTATTAAGAAAAATATCAGCAGGGGCAATGATGGACATTTTAAATGCGCCTGCTTCTTGACTCATTAACTCAAAGATCAGAGGATGCATATTTTATAATCTTGCATATGTGTGAAACTCGCTAATAGATACACTTCTAATGTTAGTAGGGAAGGATGACAAATAAAATAAATGCTTTAATGCCTGGAATGGGAAGAGCATGAGTAAGAGAGCAAAGGATTAACAAAAGAGGCAGAAAGCAAGGGTGGCACATTACGAAGGAGTTTTTGAGGAGGTGGTTTCTGGCATTTCATGGCTGACGTCCTGCAATGGTCAGGGTGGTAGGTGTTATAATGTTGGCAGGTGAGGCGACGGTGGCTGTTGGCAGAGCTGTCCCATGAAGGCTGCTTTTCGCTGCTCCTTTGAACCTTTACTGCCCATATGAAGGGATGACAAGAAATCAGAAAAGAAAACCAGAGAAAAGGGAAAGGTAACTGAATTTTAATGAACAAAAGTGGAAATGACAGCAGTTAGCAAGGAAAACAAAAGCAATATGGTCTAGCTGCAGAAAGCAGAGTTAAAGGGGAAGTTAGGCCAGAGATAGCTTGTAAACCATTTTATTTATATCACCATTCCAGTTCAACACTGTTCTAAGCCCATGTTTGTAAAATATAACATCCATTATTTGATAAAACAATGGAAAACGCTATGAGAAGGTACAGTAGATATAAGTTGTCAAATCAAGTTTAAACTGTGTAGGCATACAAAAAATTTTCAAGTGCCATAAATCTGAAGATTTGGTTGAGAACCTTACCTAGGGATGACAAGATCTTTGTACAGGCAAGTCTGACAGAACTCTACATTTCAGCCCCTTTCACACTGAATCAGTGCAGTTTCCCTACAGCACAGTGTACCCAAGGTTTTCGTGAGAGTTACCCACGCTTTCCCACAAACTTCCATTAGATTGGGTGGTTTCAGTGCGTATTCTGAAAGCACACAAAAACCGCCTGATCTACTGATAAAGCACGTGTAACCTGCACAAAAAAACGCATGTACACTGGCTTTGAGGAGACTGTCAGATCAATGTGAAAGTGGCTGAAAAGGTTTGAACCAAAAGCCAGGTTTTTATACATTTAAGAAAATTTTCTTTTATGATGAATCAATCCAATGACAATCATTAAATCAATCATAACTGTGACCCATACTATTTGGAATTTGGACAGCATCCAGAAATTGGTGACTGGCATAAAATGGCTTATCTAGCCAACATTACTCTGGCAATAGAAATTAATAGATCCTTGTTGAAATAGGTTTTTCCTTGTAATCTCTACTTTCTTTACCATATTACCTTATTGGCTACATGCACACAAGCACCTCATCAGCTTATTAAGAATGGATACCGGCAAAGAAAAGTAAGGCACGATTTCTGCTCTCTTTGTAAATTAGTGAAAGTGGAGACAGCAGATCCGTCCCTTATAGAAGTATTGTTATCTCTACAGTTATCAATAGACACGTGTCTATCCTGGGGAGAAAAAACAGATAAGAAGCACCCAAGTATACCAGCAGGTTGACTTCTATAGATTAAGTGGTGGTTTACATATATGTGGATTGGATGGAGTTTGAACCACATCCAATCCGCATTACATATGAAAAAACATTGCTTCCTATGGTGTCTGTTTCACATATGTCCAGGGCACTGGCGGTAC